GGGAAACTGGGTGATGGGCATGTGGGCATTCATTATACTATTTTATCTACTCCTATATGTGTTTAGAATCTTCTATCATAAAAAGTAAAAACCAAGGGGGCTGGGGAGAGAGGCCCGGATGTGTGGGGGTGACGAGGACGCACCAGTAGTTGGGGGCAGAGAACACGGTGACGCAGCGGCCGCCGTGCGCCACCTCGTAGCCCTCGGCCTTGACCTCGTGGCTGCGGATGATGTAGTCCAGGTGGTTCTCCTCCAGGAAGGCCTTGGTGACATCGGGCCCGAACTGGCAGCTCACGCCCCGCTTACTGACCGAGCGCCCGTTCTGGGGACACAGGGAGCTTAGGTGCCGGCCCACCCCCAAGCCCCTGCCCACACCCACCGTCCAAGGCCCCTGGGCAAACTGACCTGTGGCTGTGGGTCTGACCAGAGCAGGTCGCACATGGGACCTGGAGGGGAGGCAGAAGGGAACGTCAGGGACTGGCCGGCCGGCCTGGGGTGGGTGCTCTCAGACCACCTTCCAGCCCACCCCACGGCACAGCCCGCGCCCTCGGTAACACTTCCCGTGTGTGTGTGTGTGTGCGCGCGCGCGCGCATGTGAGTCCTCAGCTGTCTGTCCCAGTCACTTGAATGGAAGCCCCTACATCACTCTAGAGGCCAGGAGCTGACTCATGAATAAATCAGTGCCTTACGTGTGCCCCGGGCCCAGGACACGAACGCTCCCTTGTCACGCACACCTGCACCGCGGCCCACCCCCAAGCCCCTGCCCACACCCACCGTCCAAGGCCCCTGGGCAAACTGACCTGTGGCTGTGGGTCTGACCAGAGCAGGTCGCACATGGGACCTGGAGGGGAGGCAGAAGGGAACGTCAGGGACTGGCCGGCCGGCCTGGGGTGGGTGCTCTCAGACCACCTTCCAGCCCACCCCACGGCACAGCCCGCGCCCTCGGTAACACTTCTCGTGTGTGTGTGTGTGTGTGTGTGTGTGTGTGTGTGTGTGTGTGTGTGCGCGCGCGCGCATGTGCGCACGCATGTGAGTCCTCAGCTATCTGTCCCAGTCACTTGAACGGAAGCCCCTACATCACCCCAGAGGACAGGAGCCGACTCATGAATAAATCAGTGCCTTACGTGTGCCCCGGGCCCAGGACACGCTCCCTCGTCATGCACTGACCCGCACCGCGGGTAAGGAAGCTGAGGCTCAGTTTTGCTGTCCTCGCCAAGGGCAGGGCCCTGGTCACAGCAGCTCCAACCTGAGCCCAGGCCCGGACACCCTGAGGCCCCGGGAGGGAAGGGGCGGTCACCCGGCCGCCAGTCACCTGAATCTGGGGGCTGCCGATTCCGTTCGATCTTCCTGATATCGTCCAGGGTGACGCCGTCCTCACTGAACAAGCCCCCGTGCATGATCTAGGGTTTAGGGTGGGGACAGCTGTGTGAGGGGAGGCGCCAGACATATTCCAAACCCCGATCCCTTGGACTTCTTCGCCAGCACATCTACCCACGTGTGGCCCATGGGAGGCGGGCAGGGAAGAGGCCCGTGGGGGGCCGGCTGCCGTGCTCACCAGCACTTTGCCGTTGATGCACTGGGCCAGAGGGAGCCACTCAAACACCTCACTGAAGAGCTCGTACATCTGCGCTGTGTACTTGGCCTTCACCTCGCCCTCGAAGCCATAGATCTGGTTCATGTTGTCCGTTTCGTGGTTGCCTGGCCAACAGCAGGACGAAGAGAAACCTCAGCCTCTGCCGCCCGCCCAGGAGCCTCAGACTCAGGCCAGGGGCCCAGGGAGGCTTGTGTGGCGGCTCCAAGCCAATGACGCTCATGCATCAGCTCCTTGGCCCCCAGACCCTGATGAGGTGTAGACACTGTTCTCAGCCTCTTTTCCAGAGGGGCACGCGGGCTGAGCACACGTGGGCATGTGGTTACAAAGCCTGGGCTGTAGTCATGGCCACGGGAGTGGCTGATGTCTTTCCAGTCTCACAGCCACGTCCAGAGCTGACCTCCTCGTCTCGGGGCTCACACTCTGCTCTTCCCTGTCTGTCAGTGGCAGCCACAGGCCTCTAGGCGCTCCAGCCGAAACCACTGCTCCCCAACCCCCCGGGGCCAGCGCCACATCTTGATCCCACCTTGGTCTGTTCACCACACAGAGGCCCAAGGGACCCTGTTAACACCCAAGTCAGCCCGAGCCTCCTCTGCTCCAAGCCCTCCCGCGACCCAACTCCTCCTCAAGGCCCACAGGGCTCCATGTGTGGAAGGCCACGTGCAGGGCACACCTGCCCGACCTGACAGGGCAGCCCTCCCTGAACACACAACACACACTCAGCTGCAAATGGTCTCCCTGCTTCACGTGGCGACACTGGAGGCTCCCAGAGGAGAAAGCCAGTGCCCTGCCGGCGCCCCACACTGATCCCAGCTCCTGCTGCCTCCCCACTCACCTCGAAGCAGGTGGAAGTGATCTGGGTACAGGAGCTTAAAGCCAAAAAGGGTGAGGATCACTTCTACGGAGAAAGAGCCTCGGTCCACAAAGTCGCCATTAAATATCTGCCCTGCTAAGGAAAACAAGGCCGGGGGGGGGGGGGCGCACCTCCTCCCCTAGTCTCTCCACACCCATGGCTTCTGTCAGCACCTCCCTAGGAACAAGGAGGTCAGCGGGGCCTGGGGATCTGGCTTTTGTCTCTCTCCTCGCTGTGTGGCCTCTGTGTGGCCTCTGTGAGCCTCAGTAGGATGTACTGAGGTCCCCAACCTCACGTTTCTCAGGGAACCTGATGGAGGAGGGGCAGACACTAGGTGTTCAGCCTGCTCAGCTCTCCCCCAAACACAGCCCAAGCCCCAGGGGAAATGGGACACGGACCCTCCCACCCAGCACTGCTCAGGCCTGGTGGGCCTAACGGCCATTTATCCAGCAATTAGCATCAATAACACATGAACACTGGGACAGCACGGGCTGGGCCCCTTAGCACTTCACGTATACTAACTCCTCGACTCCTCAGTAACCCCACGAGGCAGCCCTATTATCATCCCCATGTTGCAATGAGGAAGCTGAGGCACCGGCAGGTGAAGTTAACGGCTATGGTCCCACAGCTGCCAAGTAGCAAAGCCAAGAGGGCACCCGGTGTGGGCAGTGCCAGACGCTGTATCGGACCTTGTAGCTGCGCCATTTCAAGATAAAGAGAAGCTGGGGCCCAGCGAGAACGCGCCACCTGCCCTGTCACACAGCAGGCGGGCCTGGCCTGGCCGTGTCCACCCACATCCCGGGGCCCAGTAAGCGCTCAGGCTGCTTCTCTGCTGGGGCTCCTCTCCCACATCCAGGCTGGGGGAGCGGGGTCTGCTCTTCTGAGAAGGATACATAGGGGTTGGTGTCTGAGGGTAAACCGTTGAGTTCAAATATGTTGAGGAGGTCATAGAACTGGCCGTGGGTGTCCCCGCACACTGTAATCTTCTCTGTCTGGAAGAAAAGAGGCCACCGGAGAGGGAGGGGCCCAGAGAGAGATGTGGGGAGGGGGCAGAGGGGAGGGGAGAGGCAAGAGGTCATGGCAGACCGAGAAGAACCATGCAAAGACACAGGCAGAGGACGCAGACATGGAGAGGGTGGGACAGAGACCGAGAGGCCAGGAGAAGAGGGACATCCAGGGAGACAGACACAGGGTGGAAGGAGAGGGAAGGCAGACCAAGCCAGGTGGGCCTGTGAGTTTCTGAGCTCCGTGGCCCCTCCCCAGCCAGGGAGCCCCACCTGGCCCACCCACACACCGCCCCACAGCGCGCACCTCTTTAAGCGTGGTCTCCACGAGCGTGCTCAGCTTGGAAAGGACCTCCTTGACCTGTACCAGGATCTGGAAGGCAGGGCAGGCTGTGAGTGGGACTGGCGGAGGGCCTGCCTGCCCCCTGGCCCCAAGAGGGCCTGGACGGACTAGATTCAACCTGCTGGGCTGAGGGGGAGGGAGAGGTGGGCAGTGGGGAGGAACGGGTAGGGGGAGGCCCAGATAACTGGGTGCTTGCTGGGGCCAGAGGTGTCCCCCAAACTGTGACCCAAGTGACCTCTATGGCATTTCAATATCAAAGTTATTTCACATGAAAATTGAGAGTCTTGGTTTCTCTTAAAATAATCAGCATCATGAAACACATGGATGAGCCCTAGCTGGTTTGGCTCAGTGGATAGAGCGTTGGCCTGCGGACTGAAGGGTCCCAGGTTTGATTCCAGTCAAGGGCACATGACAGGGTTGTGGGCTCGATCCCCAGTAGGGGGCGTGCAAGAGGCAGCCGATCAAATGATTCTCTCTCATCACTGATGTTTCTGTCTCTCTCTCCCCTCTCCCTTCCTCTCTGAAATCAATAAAAATATATTTAAAAGAAAAGAAAAAAGAAGTGAAACACATGGATGAATCCAGATGTGGAACATTTTATAAAACAACTGGCCTGGACACATCTACTGTCAGTGTCACTTAAGAGCCTCCCCGAAAAGGCAGGTCATATACAATAGTCAGTCTTTCAATGAATTCTGGATTAAAAAAAAGTAGCTAAAAAGGATGTCTGGGGGACACTGGGAACATTTAAATATTTGTCTAGAAATGTAGGTTACACTAATTTTTAGTAACTGAGATGACCTGACAGGTCACGTATATTTGACCATGTTTCCAGGCTTTACTGACCGTCTGTGGACTGTCTGCAATAGTCAGGGGCATCGTGTCGATGCTCAGTTTCTAAGGTGGGACAACTAAGCTGGTCACGCAGGAGGAGGTCCTGTTTCCGGGAGATACAGCTTATGACGCAATGTATCCTCAAATGGTCCAGAAAAACCAAAACCAAAAAGTTAACGGTTGGTGAATATATGTGAAGGGCACATGGGTGTTACCTGTACTGTTCTTTTGACTTCTCTGTAGGTTTGACAATTTTCAAAATAAAAAGTTGTGGAAAAAATTTAAGCATTAAAAGCAGGTGTCCAGCCCTAGCCAGTTTGGCTCAGTGGATAGAGCATCAGCCTGCAGACTGAAAGGTTCCAGGTTCAATTCTGGTCAAGGGCACACGCACGGGTTGCGGGCTCGATCCCCAGTAGGGGGCGTGCAGGAGGCAGCCGATCAATGATCCTCTCTTATCATTGATGTTTCTTTCTCTCCCTCTCCCTTCCTCTCTGAAATCAATTAAAATATACATTTTTTAAAAAAGTAGATGTCCACTCTGGTCAGAACATATCCTATAGAATAAAAGCCCAGCGACTGAACGGTGGAACGACCAGAATGACCAGTCGCTGTGCTGTGCACTGGCCACTAGGGGCAGACACTCAACACAGGAGCTGCCCACTGGTGGTCAGTGCGCTACCACAGTGGGACTGCCGCTCGCTAACCGGGATGAGCGACTGCTCCCGCTGCGAACCTCTGGCTGAGGAGCAGGAACCTGGGTTGCAATCGTTGCCTCCTCGCCCCAGGCTCCTCCTCCTCACTCCCTGCTGCCTCCTTTGGACGCCCACAGGCCGCGCAGCGCCACTGCTGGGCTCGCAGAGCTGACCCGGGAGGCTGGGAGGCGGGTTCATGGCCGCCAAGGGACTGAAGCCTACTCCACCACCTCTCAGTGCTATTGTCCCTGGGCCCGGCCCCAACCGGGTCCCCTGGATAGGCCAGCGCTTCAGCTCCAGGGAAGATGCCAGACCAGGGAGCAGCCGCTCAGAGGGCAGGTCCACAGCCGCTCGGCTGACCAGGATGAGCGGCGCTCCCACAGCCGGCCGATGCCTGCAGGCCACGCCCCCCACAGGTGCACAAATCCCATGCACCGGGCCTCTAGTAAAATTATAAAAGATCGTCACTCTCACCCTAATGATGAAAACAAGCCAAATCCCAACAAAATTAAACAAAAAACAAAACACACACACACACACACACAAAAACATCCAAGAGCTGAGGATGCAAAGAAACCTAAATCAATCCAGTTGTAGACAGTGCCAGGCCCTTCCTTGGGGGAGAAGACATGACCGCTTTCATCCTGGTCTCCTCCAGGAGGGCAAGTCTGCCATGGCTGGGGGAGGGAGCAGAAGTCCATGCCCGGCGTGGGCTGGTGTGACAGCTGAGAGCCCCAAGGAGCCCCAGCCCCACAACACCTCTGCCCTCACCCACCAACTCCCTCACTGGCTGTCACAGGAGGCGAGGCGCAGGGCAGCATGGCGGGGACAGACTTCCTGAAGCACAAAAGTGGGGGGCGAGACTGGGAACAGAGGACTCCCCAGCCACCCAAATCTCTGGCAGTGCGCCTGGAAACCAGCGCTCTCAGAGAGCCAAAGCTGGAGACTTTACAACAGGAAGACATCGCTCGCTGGCATCCCAAGCCCTGCTGAAGGGAGACCCTGCTTCCACTCTGAAACATTTAAAGCCAGTGGTGAACTTAGTCCAACCACAGCTGCCCGACTGCAGGTGAGACGGACAGCCCTCACACCAGCTGCCTGGCAGAAGGAAGTCCTGCCATTTTCTGCTGAGAAGTTTGATCTCAGTCTCTTCTACACAGAATGTCTGGCACACAATAAAAACTGGCATGTGAAGAACAGGCAGCAGAAGCAGACCCAGAGATGACCCAGATGGTGGAATTACCAGATAGAGACTTTAAAATAACTCTGATAAACATGTTAAAGGGTCTAGTGGAAAAGGGAGACAACACGCATGAACATTTGGGGCAGAGAGATGGGAACTATTAAAAAAGAACTGAATGGAAATGCTAAAAATAAAAAAATAACAGTATCAGAAATAGAGAATTCGCAATGCCCAGCATACCCCCAGCTCAGCAAGTGTTCAGCTACTGTGGCCACCTTTCTCTTTGTGGCTGTTTCAGCAGCCAGCACTGTGATGCCACCCTGGGGGCCCAGCCTTGTGCCGCACCTCACAGATCGTTACCTGGTAGGCGCATTTCCGGTGCAATTTCTTCTGGTCCTTGTACCACTGCATGAGCTCCTTCATGAAGGTGATTGTCACCTTGCCGTCCTCAAGCTTGGGCCCGCTGTACTCATCCTCGATAGCTAATGTGTGAGCGAAGGAATGAGTCAGTGGCCACAGCCACTGTGAGGGTGGGAGGGGGGCTGGCTCCCAGGCCTGCGGCAGACACAGCTCTGGACACTCAGGTTAAGATGTGAAGGAGAGAGAGGATTCCACTCCCCAGCAGGTCCCCTCACGGCCTGCTCCTCCCATTTGGGTCAGCTCAGAGGCCCTCTCCCTGACCTCCCTGCCTGTTGTGCCTCTCTCTCCTCTGCCTATTTGATTTTATAGCACTCAACACTATTAATTCATTTGTTGACTAGTTAATCATCTCTCTCCCCACTAGAACATCAGCTCCATGAGGGCAGTGTCTAGAACAGTGTCTGGCACACAGTAGGTGCTCAGCAATGATCTGTGGCATGAGTGAGTGAATTATCTGAGTGCCTAGAAGACCTAGAGACAGATCCGACACAGGAGGCCCGTGAGGGGTGGGCAGGAGGAGGAGGTGCTCAGCCACGTCTCCCAAACCGGGGACTCAAAGCCCAAATCCGGACTCTGGATTCCCCAGGAAGGCAGGTGGGGAAGCAACAGACAGCAGCCTGGGGACAGGGGCCGGAGGCCACCCCTGAGCCCCACCTCCCCACCCCACAGTGTGCACAGGGAATGGAGAGGCCATGCAAGGATGTGGACTGTTCTGGACTGGGTGTGGCTGAACCTGGGCCTGACTCACTCATGCTCTCGATGTCCAGCGAGTCCACAACGGAGCGCTTGTGCTCGTCGCCCGCGATGGCCCGCTCGAAGGCCTTCTGCTTCACGATCTTGTTGCACTCCTGGTATTTCATTTTGGCATCTTTGTCGTGGGGCTTCACCTTTACCACCTGGGCAGGCAGGGGGTAGAGGAGGGAAGGAAATAAGGGAGAGGGAAGAACGGAGGGAAGAAGGATGGGGAAGGAAGAGGAAGGGAGGGAGGGAGTAAGGGAGGAGGCATCAAGGCTCAGACCAAGGAGGGGGCAGACAGCAGTCAGGAGGTGGGGACGCCACAGCTGCCCACAGTCTGCCCGGCCGTGAATGATGAAGCCAGACCACCCAGGCCGTCATGCACTAGTGGGGCAGCCCTGGACACCTCTCACCTCCAGGCCTACGTTTCTGCACCCCCAAACTAGACCACACGGGCTGCTGTGAGGGTAAACACAGTAACCCACACGGGTGATGTTAATAAATCTTAGCTCCATCATTAAAATAAAACGGCCCCATCCGAGGAGCACGCATTCAGCTTCTGGTTCCTCGTTAGAACCAGAGCAGCCGAGGCACACTTTACTGCTATTGTCACTGTCAATACCAAAGAGGGTGGGTTCAGAGGAAAGGATGTGCTGGGTCTAAAATCACGATTAATGGCCCAGACCCATCCGAAGGGCCAATGATCACGGGTGACCCAGATTCCCTGAACCTCAGTTTCTTCATCTATAAAACGAAGGAGATAACAGGCTCCACCTGCCAAGGCTACAGTAGGTCCTCGGGTTACGTCCGAGATCCGATCCTACGGTGACGTAACGCGATTTTCGCCGTAAGTCGGAACCTGCCTACATAAGCACCCATGTCACTCACACAGAGACATACACAGCAGTAATGAAGTGAAACAGTAAAAAAAAATGTAAAAGGTAACAATTCCTGACCTTTGCTTGTGGTAAATAAATAATAAAAAACATAAAGTACCAGACAGAGACTTTTATGTACATACGTCAAAATGATGGAACTTTTTTTAATATAAATATATGGGAGATGGCGACATAACCACGAAACGACGTACGTGGAGTCCTATGTAACCCGAGGACTGTCTGTACTGGGCACGAGTAGGGACACATGCACGGCCAGCACTGAGTGGTATGTGTTCCTTGGGCTGCTGGGAGATGCAGGGCAAATGAGTTCCCTGTTTCCTCTTCTGAAGGGAGGGGCCACAGACCCAGGCTACCTGGGTTCAAATCCCAGCTCCACCAATCAACCATCAGTGGAGCAACCTTGGCCAGCCGGTGTGCCTCTCTGTGGCTCAGTTTCCTCTCTGAGATGGGAGTGGTAGGAGTCCCTGCCTCCGAGGGCTGCTGTGAAGACTAAATGAATGAACACTGCGCAGTGTGTGCAGCTGCGCCAGGCCAGGGTCAACCCTGCGTAAACGGCTGCTCCTTATGGCCCCTTTCCCAGGCTGCTGTGCCGATGACACCAGCTCATATGTAAAAAGGGCCCATCCCCTCCTTTCTCTCCACCTTGTACCCGGCGTCCTCCAAACTCAGAAGCACAGAGGGCTGGATTCTGATCCCTGCTCTGCCACTCGCTTGCTGTGTGACCTTAGGCAAGTGACTCCCCCCGCCCCTCTGAGCCTCAGGTAGTCATCTGTGTTACTGTCATTGTTATTAGTGGCCCCACAACGCCTGTGCGGGGTGAGGGGCAGAGAGGGGTGGTGATGGCCCCTAGAAGGCCTGGCAGAGTGAGTCAGAAGCCTGTGCAAAGGGTTAGTGCAGCTCGTCCGCGCTGGGAATGGCTGTGCAGACCAGGCGAGTGGCAGAACGCTGGCTGCGGCTGGCGATGGCTTCCTCCCTGTCTGGACAGGCTCAGGCTGGGGCACCCTGCCAGGCAGCTCCACCTGGGTATGGGTGCGGTGCAAGGCTCGGGAGGGAGGCAGAACCAGACATCCCCTGGAGTCCTTCCCGGGACGGAGAGGTTGAGTCCACACCCCGGGATAAAGTCCACACCACCACCTGGCCTGGCTCATGAGAACCCCTTTGTTTGCCCAGCCAGGCCGACCTCCAAGTCCCCACATGCACCATCTCCTCTCACCCCAGGTCCTGTACAGGCTGCCCGGGCCCAGAACTCCTCATCCCCTCCCACCTCTAAGCCCTTTCCAGCTCCTCCTCCTCTAGGTCTCCCCTTCCCGTCACTCAGGCTGGGTCAGGCACCCTCTGGGCTCCCACCAGCCCCTGGACCTCCTGGCCAGCACGAGCACTGCTGGACAGGGGACATCCCCCCCGCATGGTGGCCCGTGAGGCGGGGCTGAGGCCGTGTCCCAGCAGTGAATGAATGCCCCGAGTGAGCAGATGAACCACTCAGCTTATCCCCCTGGCCCGTCTCCAGTTCTCAGCGAGCTCACAGACTGGGGTGGAGGATGGGGACAAACCCTGACAATGGAAGAGGAGCAGGAGCAGTAACAGAAGCAGAAGCAAAAACATGGCTAATTTTCTGACACTTTTTATGTGCCTGACACTGTTGTAAGCAATCAACTTGCTCATTTGCTCAAAGTAGCTCTATGTGGTGTTATCACAATCCCATTTGATGGATGAGGAAACTGAGGCCCAGAGAGGTGTCACCGACCCAGGAAGCCAGGATTCTGTTCCCTTCCTGTGTAGGCTCCTGACTTCTACCACACACGCTGAGACATGTTCCCTCCCCTGACCAATGCCACATGTCCCCACAGTACCCTGTATGCCCTCCATGGAGCAGTGTGGGGTCGTGGCCATGAGCGCCCTCTCTGGGGTCAGGCCTTCCAGGGCAAGCAGCCCCACCTCAGGCCTCCCTCAGCTTCTAGAAAGTGGGGAGGGTGCCGGCAGTCCCATGGAGGGTGGTGTGAGAATTTAACACCAGGCCCATCGCAGGGCCTAGCAGTAAGCCAGGGCTAGTGCCAGGGACTGCAGCTGCTGCTATTACGCGCTACCTGGGGGGAAAAGAGGGGGGGGCCCTGCCAGGCATCTGGGGAAGGCCAGTGCTTCAGACCAGAGGGACGGGGCGGGCTCTTCAGGAGTCGAGGCCGGTTAGGCCAGAACTTAAGGCTGCGTTTTTCTTTAAAATGTGGCACCTGGATCGTCTCAATGCCAGGCTCCTGACTGTGATGTTTATGTAGTGATGTCACTGGGGAACCTGGGAGAAGGGATCTCTCTATTACTTCCTATAACACTCGCAAAATAAAAAGATGTTTTCAGAAAGTGGTATTGCAGCTGGGACTGCTCACAGGCAATTAGGCTGGAATCGATGAAATGACAGCACAGCTCGGCAATCCCTAGAAGCCAGGGGCTGCTGTGTTTGGGAACTGGGAGGTTTCTGGGTTTTACGAAGTTGACACAGTGCTCACGCTGTTATTTGACACCCCAGCAGGTCTGAGTGGCACCTGGTCACCACACACACTCCCAAACCTCTAGGCACACCACGTGGGAGCAATCAAGACCATCAACGGCCTCTCATTAGTTCAGGTCAGATTTTGCCACCAAATGAGTTGCCCAAATTTACTGGAAAAACTGGTTTTCAGAATGGCCTGGGTTTGGAACTGAGGGTGAGAGACTCTAGACCGGCAGCAGGAGACAGGCCCCAAGGCAAGTGCTCCTGACCTCGGGGGACCTACATGACAACACGTGATGGACATTGTGATTATCTATAATGTCACGATGATGGACAGCCCAGAGAGGTACTGCGCCCGCCCGAGCGGGAGGGAAGCCAGGTTTCTTGGGCAGGCACTGCACGCGACAGTCGTAAGTGTGACACTTGGGTTTTCAGCCCATAGGTTGAGACCCTCTAGTGAATTAATTCAGCCAATACTCCTCTTATAATAAAAGAGAAGAGAAGAGAAGAGAAGAGAAGAGAAGAGAAGAGAAGAGAAGAGAAGAGAAGAGAAGAGAAGACCATCGAGTACACTGCCTGAGCTGAGGGCAAGCACTGCGCCAGGAAACTGGTGCCACGGCGAACAGCCAGTGGTCAGGAGCCTGACTCTGGTACCAGCCTATCACCTCCTGGCTGGGGGGCCTCGGGGGAGTGACCTCTCTCCGGGCCTCAGCTTCCTCACCTGTCAATCAGGACAACAGGCCCCAATGCACAGGGTTGCAAAGAAGATCACGCGAGTTATTAGGGTATTAAGGTCCCAACCGTGAACAGTAAAGAGCCCATTACGAGTTACTCAGCATCTACTGATGAGTAGTGGTGAGCACTGTGCTGGGTTTCGGCTCTGACTAGTCCTGTTACTGCCACGTGTCCACACCTTAGGCACAGGCCTGTGTGGGCTTGCAAGGCGGGCACACGTTTCCCTGGCTGCGCAGACTATGCTATAAGAACCCAAATGCAAACCATATTACAAACCCAACCCAACAAATCCCAGAAAGGGGCGAGGAGGGAGTGCAGGAGTCCCCCAGATCCAGCCTGGGCCCACGTGACCCCCCGAGCTCCACCGCACAGGAAAGAACCCAGGAAGAGGACCCAATAAAGGGGCAGGGGATCCTGAAGCAAGGGTCCCTGTGGATGGATGAACTTGGAGATGAGGGAGGTTGGGGTTTGGGGGATTCATCATGGGCCCATGCAGAGGGGAGCTGATATCTGAGGCGAGGCCTTAGAATGGAGACACCGCCAGCTCCCAGGCCCCTAACACAGCGCTTCCCATGGGCCTCAGGCTTTCCCCCAACACCCCCAGGAGAAAACGCACCGAGTGCTAAGTGGGGGCAGGTCCGACTCTAATGTACTGATCTCCGTTAATCCTCACAAGGTCACGGAGGCAGCCCCTACTCTTCTCCCCATTTCACAGACAAGGACAGAGGCTGGAGACGAGCCCTCAGAGCTGCGCAGCTCAGAGCTGGGCCTCCTGGCCAGGGGGCTGGTGCCTCCAGCTGCACCAGTGGCCTGAAGACTCTGACTCCCAGTAAGAAATATGTATTTTATGTCACACCTAACACACATCTAAATTCACATAAATGAAATTTTTTTCACAGAACCATATATACACAACGTTCTCCAAATATTGACCTTTTTTCTTCTTTACTGTATTTGATGAAAGTGGTCTCAAACCATTACACTGACTTCACAGCCTCTAACAGTTACAAGCACAGACTCTGGGTTCAAGTCCCAGCTCTGCCACTTCTCGGCTGGGTGACCTTGGAGGAGGGGCTCCCCCTCTCTAGACCCGTTTCCTTCCTGTAAAATACACTAAACTCATGCAGGCAGAGAGCTCACAACAGAGCCAGGCCCACAGTGAGCACGCAGACGAGGAAACCGAGGTTGCAAAGGGAAGGCCCTCCACCCGAGGGCCCAGGCTGCTGAGGCAGAACCTTGGGCTTGTTTGTTCAACCAAGGTCACGTCTTGGCTCCACCTCCAAGGAGGCCCAGATCTGAGAGGGGGCCTGGGCACACCCTCCATGAGAGTCACACGTCCTAAGACAGCTCCGGAGGGTAGGAGGTAGAGACTGGAGGGGGAGCAGCCCCAGGGCCTGGCCCCTCTGCCTGCATCCAGAGGCTGATGAAACATGTCAGCATGGAGAAGGGTGACCAGCCTGCAGGCATGAGGGTGGCTGGCCAAGGGTGGGCCAGACCCAGGCCCAGGCCGGCAAGGATCTCAGGCTCACCTGGGGACTCTCCAATGCTGCATGCAGAGCCCCCACAAAAAAGGCTGGGTGTGGCCCCACCTCAAGTTATTTGAAAAAGACTGTAAAACACCCCCCACCACGACATCCACAAGGCCAGGGATAAAGTTCAGACGTGGTACCCACAGGATGGCGGTCCGAACCATCTCAGTCTCACGGAGAATGCAAGGCTAGGGCCCAATCTGGGCCGGAGCCACGGGAAGAACCCCTGCTCCTCACCCCAGGAAAAGCCTCTTTCCTGCAGCCCTGGGAGTGGGGAAGACCTGTGGTCAGATCTCACTTTCAAATGCCCCCTCCAGGCCCAGCTCCCACTCTAGGACTCCCCACCCTGACCCGGAGCCCTAGAAAAGCCCTGCCGCCATCCAACCCCCACTGTCCTTCTGGGTTACTCATTAGTGACCCTCCAGCCCCAATGACCTTTACTCACACCACTTCACAGAGCCCCACAGCCACTCCTCTTGTCACCATGCCCGATGAGGGAGGACACCAGGGACGGGGAGAGGACTGACTGAGGAATGGCTTGGGCGCCCAAGCTAACAGGGACTCTGTTCTGTTGTTCCTTCCCTCATCCTTGGGGTGTCACCCAGCATCCTCCTCCATTGTGTCCCCGTCTCTAAATTACCCGCTCCCTGCACACCTCTGCCCCCACCCTGACACAGGTGTCCTCTGGCCCGAGGCTTGGTTCAGCTTTCACTGGCCTGAAATCCACCCTCCACCCGAGGCCAGCGGCCAGCAGCCAGGCCGGCCAGTCCAACCAGGATCCCTCCAACTGCAGCCTGTGCCTCTCAGCCCCCCGGCCGCCCTCTCCACACAGCAGAAGCTGCTCAATGTGTGCAGGAGTGAAATGGAAGGAGGGTGTGTGTGCATTGAGGGCAGAGTAAGAATCCACTCCACAAATACTGACTGAGCCACTGCAGGGGGCACCATCCCAATGAACAGAACAAATGAACCTGACTCTCAGGAAGCTAACTCTCCAAGGCAGGGGAGACAGGGGCTGGCAGGCTGGGCTGCCTGGGTTCAAATCCCAGCGCTGCGACCCTTCCACCGGCTGCATGTTGGTGGGCAGGTGCCTTACCCCTCTGGGCCTCCGTCTCCTCTGTACAACGGGGTAAACAGTTCCCACCCCACAGAGCCATAATTCATTCAGCCAACTGATGTGAAAGCTGCAGAAGGTGCCTGGCATGAAGGCATGTACTCTGTGGGTCCTCCCGACTATCATTATTCCTATTATCAGAGCAATCACAGCGGGAATGGCAGGTGACCGAGGGGGTCCCTCCCTCATCCAATGCATCCCCCACTTGCTCTTCCTCTAGAGCACATGACCCCACTCCAGTTCCTCTCAGCTGCATGGACTCTGCTTACATGCTCACCTCTGAACCATCAGCTCCTCTGAAGAAAGGCTGTGGCTCTCATTCAACAGAGAGAACAACAATAATCCTAACAGCACACGGTCACAGAACATTGACCGTGTTCAAACACCCGAAAAGCAGAAACTCATTTACTCTCATGGCAACCCATAGGGGTAGGTCCCACTGCGCTCCCATCTCACAGATGTGGAGAAGAAGGCACAGGGGGCCAGGCAGAGCCGGATATGAACCCAGGCAGTCGCTCCAGGACAAGAGGCCTCACGCCTTTGCTGGATGAGTAGATGCTGAGTAACTCGTGAATGGCCTTCTCCCACCTCCCCCTCCAGGCAGGCACAGCGCACACCTTCCCCTGCCCCCCCATCGGCCCTCAGCATCCACCTGGCTCAGGCAGCTGGCCTACTCCCAGAGGCCTGGCTCACCGTCTCGTAGTCGCGCAGGGCGGCTCGGAACTTGCCCAGTGCCATGTTGCTGGCAGCCCGGCGGTAGTAGCCCTTAATGTACTTCTTGTCCATCTCGATGGCCCGCGTGGCGTCAGCCAGTGCGTAGCCGTAGCACTCGGTGCGCAGGTAGGCCAGGCTGCGGTTGCCATAGTAGATGGCATTGCTGGGGCTCAGCTCGATGGCCTGGCTGTAGAACTTGATGGCGTTCTCGTAGTCCTTGGCTGTGGAGACAGAGGAGGAGGAGGCATGAAGCAGGGCCGCTGCCCCAGCAAGAACAGGTCCTAGGCTGGGTACGGGCCCAGTCTCCCCATTTACAGATGGGGAAACTGAGGTCCAGAGCTGAGCTCAGCAACATCTCTTCCGCCTGCCCCTTCCCTGTCCCGACTGTCCCACACTAACACAGGCCTCGTCTCCTCATGACCAAATCTCCAAGACCCAAGGTCATTTCCACACACCCGACCACCCAACCATGAGTCCTCCAGGCCGCAGGCCAGTGACCTTCTTCCAGGACCTCAGGAGGGTCTCACTGAATCCTCCCCGTGGCCCAGAGAGGTCATGCTACTGAGATATAAACCAGCAAACGCGAATATGCCCTGAGCCCCTCGATTGCCCAGCCCTCAAAGCAAGGACACAAGCCCAAAGAGGGTGCCTAGGACACGAAGTGGGGAAGGAGAAGGAAGCTACTTGGTCCTCAATAAGAAGGGGACATATCAGCCAAGACCCAAGGAAGTGACAAGCCAGACTGAAGAAGCGCATTCCTGACAAAAGGAACAGCAGGTACAAAGGCCCTCGGGGGTGGGGTGGGGGGAGTGAGAGGCTGGAGTGGCTGGGCAGAGTGAGCTGGGTAGGGTACAGATGAGGGCATGGAGGCTGGCAGGACAGATCCCCAAAGCCACGGCCACAGCCGGATCTGGACATCGATGTTCTGGGTATGGACCAACAGGATGTGGCCTGGCCAAGGGTAAAAGATCAATTTTATTTAAAATGAGCTATGGTTGCCCTGACCGGTTTGGCTCAGCGGATAGAGAGTCGGCCTGTGGACTGAAGGGTCCCAGGTTCGATTCCGGTCAAGGGCATGTATCTTGGTTGCGGGCACATCCCCAGTAGGGGGTGTGCAGGAGGCAGCTGATCGATGTTCCCAACTCTCTCTCTCCCTTCCTCTCTGCAAAAAAATAAATAAAATATATTTTAAAAAATAAGTAAACAAAATAAAATAAAATGAGCCATGGCTGTGCCCTGCACTCTACATCTCGACCGTGGAATCCTCACATCTCCATGGCATAAGCACCATCTGGTGCTCACTTTACAGATGAGTCATTAGGTCTTTTTCAAGGTCAAGCACCCAGTCTATATTAGCAAAGCCAGGCTCAAACCCCTCCCATGAGGCCATTCGACAGGCAGAAGGCCAAGGCTTGTCAGAACTGGAGGACCATGATGTACTATGGGCCACACAGGGCTCTTGGTACATGAGTCCCTTCACTGAACCCTCGTAACAACCCCGAGGACAACTACATTAGCCCCATTTTCCAGATGAGGGGACTGAGGCTCATTGAGGCAAAGCCCATATTGAGGTCACACCACAAGTGGCAGGCAGGGATTCTGAGCCAGGCCAAGACCCAAATGGCCCCACTCTCACCCTCCACACCTGGACCTCTGGGGGAGCCTGGCACAGGGGCAGGAGCAGATACGGGGCAGGTGGCCTAGGCCCATCCCTGGCTCTGGCTCTTACTAGCTGGGTATCCTTGCACACCTTGAGAGAGCCCTCTTAATACCTGGCTTGAAATGGAAATTCCTGCCCTAACTCCCACTTTACTTTTCTCCCGAGTCATCTGATAAACCATTAGATTTTTGTTTGTTTGTTTGCTTATAATCCATCCCCCCAATTTCAAGTTAAGGCCCATGAAGGCAAGGGCCTTGTTTGTCTTACTTCTTTTTGAGTCCTTGCCCTGCCTAAGGATACAGCACCCCTCAGTCCTGCCCTCCCTGGGCTCATAGTCCAGTGGGGACTGGGGTGGGGACAATACACAGATCCATCCCCATAATGTGATAATCGAGTGCTGAGGGCTGGGAAGCCAGAGGGGATGTCAAGCTGAGACCTGTAGGGTGAGAAAGAGTGAGTCAGGTAAAGAAATAGAATGAAATAGGGCTCCAAACTCCATTGATTGTTCTAGAAGGGAGGAAGGGAGGGAGGGAGACAGACAAACTAACCCAATAACCAACACTAGAGAAAGAAGAAAGCAGGTCCTAGGGAGATGGCCAGGAACAATATAACAATGACTCCTTTTGCAGGCGAACACCTGGCAATCTTTTAATGCTTGATGCCCCCTCCTTCAGGAAGCCCGCCTTGATACCCCTCCAGGCTTACCTATCCCAGCCCGGCACACTCCATTCTGGATTGTCACTGTTAAGTGATGAATGTGTCCCCCCAGAGCTGTGAGCCCTGGTGGGCAGGCCCAGGACTTCCCAGAAACAAGCAAGGGCAGAACCGACCCTCCCTGGAACGCCAGTGCCTTCCAAGACTCCTTCCGGCTCCCTGGCGGGGTTCCAGAGGCTGACGGGCCAGCTCTCTTGTTGGGTGAGGTGTTACCTGAAGACCGTCTGGCATGGGGCAGAAAGCCTGGGGTCTGAGACTCTGGCATTCAGCTCTGCAGGCCCCAGCCATGAGACCTCGGGCATAGAGCCTCTCCTCTCTGAGCCTCAGTGTGAGGATCTGAAATGTGGAGTCACAAACAACCCTGCCTTGGGGGGGTGGTTGGCTAAATGAACTCATGTATGAAATGTGCTACAGCAGATACTTGTAAAAGAAGCAAATGAATGACTAAGCGAAGGGAAGGAGAATGGAGCAGAGGAAATGGGAGGGGCCCCTACTCCACACATCTGCCCAGATACCACCATAGCCCGGGCCTGCTCTGTGTTGAACCTGAGTGCATTCCATCATCCAACAGTCCCCCGTGTAGAGATGAGGAGACGGAGGCACAGAGAGGAAGAGGAAGAAATAAGATTTGGGGGCTGATGAGGCCCAGGGAGAAGGGAAGGGACAGGGCTCTGCCAGGGCCTCTGGAATGGCCTGAGCTCACAGAGGAGCCAGCCTTGCCGGAGGGGGGGGAAAGGTGGGCGTGGGCGGGGAATCCCTGGGGTCCCTCTTCACCCTGCAGGGGCCAGGGCGGTCAGGGTAAAACCTGTGGGAGCCCAGCACGTGGCGAGGGAGGGGGACATCCGGGCTCGGCTGCTCACACGCTCTACCTTGGCACGTGGTTTCGCTTCTGAGCCTCAGCTTCCTCTATAAGACAAGCAGGGCTGCTCCCACCTGCCGCCGGTGCTCCAGGGAGGACTGAACACAGCGGTGTACCTGGCCACCACAGGCGCTCAATTAGGGGAGCTGTAATTATTCTTTTTATTGTCATCCCAGAGGCCAGGGCTCTGTGCCTGCTGCTGCCTGCCATACAGGAGGGGCGTTCTTCACGCCAGCTCACCCCCAGGACCTCTGGCTGCCCGCCCAGCCCACGGCTCCTGACAACCCAGATCCCAGGTCCTGAGGGGCAAGGGGCGCCTCCCCACTGCTTCTTATTTTCCAGAATTCTTACTCTGCCTCAGCATCAACCCCCAGACTTGCTGCTCCTCCCAAGCCCCATGTCAGGGATAACACCACCTTCTATGTCACCCCCAGCTGCAGACTGGGCTTTGTCCCGGACACCTCCTGACCCTCAGGCCCCTCAGCCAGGCAGCCACCATGCTCCGTCAAATCAGCCTCCTGAACATCCATCCAACCTGTTCATTTCCATCCCTTCGGACCCATCCAACCTGGCCTGGCCTTCATCCTCTCCTGCCCAGGGTCCCGCCCCAGCCTCCAGCCCTGCCCCTCCAGAGGGGATTTTTAAAGCATAAACCTGACCTTGTCCCTTCCCTGCTCAGAACGAGCCACAGCTCCCCAGAGCCCTGGGCAGAAAGCTCAGGCTCCTCCCTGCAGCCTCACCAACACGAACTCCTCCTGCCTCTCACACTTCCGATCCCAGTGCCAGGCCTCTGCCATCTGTTCTCTGCCTGGAGTTCCCTCTTCCCTCTCTCCAGGCAGCCCCTCTGAAACATTTCTCGAGTTAGTTTCCCTCTCTCCAGCCTGGTCAGCAGCTCTACCACCTTTCACCTGTCCCCAATTCTCGTCTCCTTCCTGGTCTCCAGTCTGACCCTTGTGTCCAAGCTTCACACGGCCGCTGGGGGATCTTTTCCAAATACCGATCAGACCATGTTGCTCCTCTCTTAAAACCTTCCATGGCTCCCTACCACTCCAGGATGCCATCCATTCTCCCAGACCCGGACTTCAGGGCTCCCCTCCCCATCTCTCACCAGTCCCACCTGCTCCCTCAGCCCATCACACTTTCCCACTCTTTGAATCTGTCTATGCTCCCACTGAAGGCCAATTCTCCCCGAGGGCTCTAATTCATTCCACTCCCCACCCCTTTCCCTAGGGCTTTGTTGCTGCAAGTCTCCCCTCTCTCCTACAGGATCAAGTCTCCCCTCTCTCCTACAGGATCAAGTCTCCCCTCTCTCCTACAGGATCAAGTCTCCCCTCTCTCCTATAGGATCAATTCTCCCCTCTCTCCTACAGGATCAAGTCACCCCTCTCTCCTACAGGATCAATTCTCCCCTCTCTCCTATAGGATCTATTCTCCCTCACATGCACCAGACCCTACTCTCCTCCATCCTTCAAAAAAGCAGCTCCCTCCCCCATTTCCCCACTCCCCTTCAGAACCAAAATACTCAAACACTGTCAACATTTGCTGTCTCCACTTCCACACCTCCCGTTCCATCTCCAGTGCCCTCCTAGCTGGCCACCACCTCCATCATTCCCCAGAGCCTGCTCTTGTCAAGGCTACCATCAACACTCATGGCGCCAAAACCAATGGTTGAATCCAATGGTCGATGCTCTGTGCTCACCTGGGCAGCATCTGACCCAGCGCACAGCCCCCTCCTTCTAGAAGCACCCTCTTCTCTCATCTTTCCCCACCCTGTCCCCGATTTCCTTTCTACTCCGCTGACCACCCCTCCTCTGCCTCTTCCTCTTCTGTTCCAAACGTGAGAATTCCTCCAGGTTCCGTCTGTGGCTCCTTCTCTTCCGGGATGACCTCACCCCTTCCCAGCGAGTTCTATTCCATCCGCAGGCTGACCCTCTCCTTGGAACTACGCGCCAGCCTATCCGTCTACTCAAAGTCTCCTCTTGGGCGGCTGAGTAAAAGCCAAACTAGTCCTTGCAATGACCTAGGAAGAAACCCTACACGATCCGGCCCCTGTCCTAACCTCGCTTGTATCAGTCTCCCCACTCACGTGCTCAAGTCCCAGGCCCACCAGTCAGTCTCCTTTCATTTCCTACCCCAGGTCTTTGCACACGAGGCTCCGCCCACCAGGAGCACTCCTCCCCAGTTCTGCTCAACTTAATGCACCTACTCAATGCAGCCTCCAGCCCCTCAACCCTCATCATCTTCTTCACCCTGTTCCCCCGCCCCCCGAAAAGCACTCATCACAACTTCTAAGTATTTGATTAATGTGTGCAGTTACTCATTGTTTGATTCTCCTGCTAAATTACAAGCTGTATAGGGGCATCTATCTCTTTGGTTGCTACCCCCCAGAATCTAGCACAGTCCTTAGCACATAGCAGGTGTTCAAGGAACATGTTGACTGAATGAATGAATGGGTGCCCGCATACCCATCTCTTTCTCCAGATCCTGTCATACATACTATTCTTGGGGTTCTCCCACCTCTACTCCCAGGGCCTCCCCACATCTC